TGTGTGAGCAGACCCTCACCACTGTAGAGCAACCATTGATTAGGGGGTCTTCACGGTCCACAACAAACTGCCACGTGACACTGCAGATGGCCACAGACACAGGCAACAACAACCGCGATGTCTCCCCACCGTCGGGGGGGGGGAGGGAATAGCTGCCTGCCCGCTGCTGTCGACAGGGGGGAGGTAAATAGCTACCGTGTCACTTTTTCAACACCGTCGAGACACAATATTAACTCAAACTGTGGCTGTCGCCAGAGTGTTAAAGCACTAGTTACACATGCGCATGAGTGGCAGCTGGCCAGGTTCAAACCCTGGCAGCAACAACATCCTGGGAGCGGAGCGGGGCAGGGCAGCAGCGTGGGTGCGTGCATGTGTGCATGTGCGTGTGCGGCGGCCTTGGTCGTGACGGCAGCTTCATTTTCTGCCATGTGTCTCTCTTTCGTTGCACGTTTTTTTCGGCCGTTTTTTCCCTGCAACGGACCGAAAAGCAGCCAAAAAAACCACTGTCGGGTTTTGGTAGTTTTCCCTGCTATGCGGTGTGGTGGGTGGGAGCGGGGAACGTTCCCGCTCTGATACCAGTGTGGCGGACCCACCAGGTGTGGTGCTCCGCTTGGGATAGAGATGGAGATGAAGGATGAAGGGGGAGCGAGATGGCACAGCCCAGCTCCCACGCTGGACTCCAACGCACACACTCCAAAATGTGCCAATGTAGAACGAGCTCAAAAACAGACAACAGTTGGGGTACAGGCCTGGACTGGGCTACCCCGAATACAACACAAACCTGTGAGAACAAGCCAAGGGGCTGGTCTCACAGGCCAACCAGAGGTCCACTACAATCCAGCTGACTATCTCAATTGGTTAGCACCAAGAATGCTACAGGAGGCCATGGGGATTGAACCATGACCCCATGACCTCCTGAATGCCACTTGCGTGCCTAACCAATTGAGCTAGGCCGCTGGATTCCTATGCATTTTTGAAACCAAAGTTCCACCTTTCCCAGCTGCGTCGCTCCCCACAAATAGATCGGAGCCGTGTTCTATTTAAAAAAAAAAAA